CGGAGTGAAGTTCTATAAGCCCATAATGCTTCGTTTAACTTTAAATGCCACATCCTAAGCCTTTCTTTTACCATTTTCTTGAGAATACCGATTAAAACCTTATTACTTGCTTCGGCATGTCCCTTTGCCTACGGGTAATACGATGTAGTCTGCTCGAGTCAAATTTTTAGATTTGCTGTATACTCCTGAAACCTACTGGATGAAAAAATCATACCATTATCTGTTATGATTGTTTATAGTACGCTGAATCTAGTCACAATGTTTTCTTCTACAAAATTACAGACTTCTTTAGACGTTAACTCGACGTATGACTTAACTTATACCCATTTGGTGAAGTAATCCATTGCGACAAGTATCCACACATGTTTTGCTATCCCGGAAGATGGTGCAATTTTGCCGATTACATCTGTGGCCCATCCTTTAAACGACCATGGTTTGGTGACCGAATGGAGTGATTCGGTAGGAACTCTCTATATAGGCCCATGAATTTGACATTGTACACATCCCTTTGCATACTCGATGCAATCCTTCAAAATGCTCAACCAGAAAAAGCCATATCGCCGAAGTAGCCAATGCATCTTTTGTCCAGATTGATGAGCCCCGTAAATTCCTTCATGTACTTTTGCCATTACTTGAGCATCTTTTTACGGGCCGAGGCATAGTAACAATAGCCCATCCTCACCTTTTTGATACAACTCATTCTGGTATCATACGTAGTTTGTGGCATGGACCCTTGTCCGTCGGTCGTGTTTCTCGCTAGGGTTATCGAGATATCGCATAATCACCCTTCTCCAATCATCTGGTAATGCCTCGACAGCGCAAACCTCTATAGGGTCCTTCCGCTCCAACAACGAAGGTAAGGACATGACTCGTGTGCGGATCAAGCAAACGTGTTGGAGAACTTGTTGATTAATCAAGGCCGAGTACGCTCGTCGTAACAAAGGTATTTCTCGGCTTAATTTACCCTCCAGGAGATGTGCTCCAGAGGCTATTTGAGCTAATTCGTCGACGTTTGTGTTGTGAACTCGTAAAATGTGTTTGAAAGTAACGCTATCGAAACACTCGGCCAAATAGCTAGCAACCATGTGATAGGGTGCCAGAGTACAACTCATGTAATGAAAAGTCCCATTAAGTTGATTAATCACAATTTAGAATCATCAAGAACAAGGGCACGAGTTGCCCACAAATCGTGTAAGACACCGAAACCGACGGCAAGGGCTTCGTATTCGGTCTGATTATTTGTACAATCGTAATCGAGCTTGAGAGAAAAATACCAGCGGCTATGATTTGGGGATTGGATAACAACCTCAACATCAGCCGAGATTAAAGTATTAGAACCATTAAAGTACATCATCCAGTAATTAAAATGTGTGTCCACCATGCCGATTTCAACATCATTGCCCCCAAACTCGTACAGCGAGGGATGTTGGGCTAAGAAATCGGTCAATGTCTGGCCTTTGACAGCTTTTTGGGGCACATATTGCAAACTAAATTTGGATAGCGCCATTGTCCACTTACCGATTCGACCCCTTACTATCGGTTTAGTGAGCATGTAACGAATGACATCGGTATGGGCGATGACCTGAGTGACCGTCGGGAGCATGTAATGTCTGAGTTTTGATACAGCGAAAAATAAAGCGAGGTAAAGCTTTTTGATGGCGAAATAGTTAATTTCTGGTGGGTTGAGATTTCGTCTAAGATAAAAAATGGCTTGTTCTCGCCCAGCGTCATTGTCTTGTGCAAGAAGGCATCTGATGGATTCTTCGGCTGCTGAGATATACAGCTTAAGAGGTCAGCCACGTCGTGGTGGAACCAGGACAGGTGGAGTTATGAGGGAGACCTTGATCTGCATAAATGCCTTTTGGTACATGCCATTCGAAGATGTCAAAATCCTTAAGTTTCAAGAGCGTGGAAAAGGCTTTCATTTTCCTTACCGAATTGGCAATGAAGCGACGAAGGAAGTTAATCTTGCCAAGCAACGACTGTAGTTGTTTCTTAGTCGTCGGGGATAGAGCGTTGATGATTGCTCAAGCCTTGTTTTTGTCTGCCTCAATACCATGTTGATGTACAAAGAATCCTAAAAAAATTACCGGCTGATATTTTAAAGCACATTTGGTGGGATTCATCTTAAGGTTGTGTTGGTGCATACAAAGGAAAGCCTGACAAAGGTTAGCCAAATGTGTCTGTCGACGTTCTGATTTGATTACAACATCGTCGATGTAGACTTTGAGATGGTACCAATCAAATCATGGAAAATAGTGTTCATAGCTTGTTGATATGTGGTATCGGCGTTCTTGAGGCCGAATGGCGTGACGACCCATTCTTATGTGTCGAGTGCCACTGGGCAACAAAAATCGATTTTATGGACATAGACCTCGGCGATGAAAATCTGGTTATAACCAGCATGTCCATCCATAAAGGATAAGATCGCGTGGTTTGTCGCTGCATCGATTAACAAATCTAAAATTGGCATTGGATATTTATTTTTTGGAGTCGCCAACTTCAAATTGCGAAAATCAATACAAATGCGCAGGGCACCAATTTTCTTTAAAATGGGGACGATGTTTGCCAGCCATTCGACATATCGAGCTGTCCAAATAAATCCATCTTTTAAAAGTCGCACGAGTTCGTCTTTTATGCCGAGTTGTACTTCGGTTGAGAATCGGCGAGGTGGTTGGCGGAATGGTTTACACCCAAGTTTGATGCGCAGTTCATGTTCAACTAGTGTGCGATCAGAACCAGGCATCTCATGGTAACTCCCAGCAAAACAATCCTTAAATTCTTTAAACAAATTACAAAGCTCAATTTTTACATGTTGGGGTTACAAAGCACTAATGAACAAAGGTTGTGGCTCTTCAGCCGTTCCAACATTTATCTCCACTAATAGAACTTTAACTTGAGGTTGGCTATCATCGAGCTCGGCCGCTGCAACCTAAACCTTGTCTAGTGATAACATAGGGCCGTTGTTTCATTCAGCAAAAAATTCGACGAAGTTTATGCTCGAATTTGGTTGTTTGGAAATAACGTATCGGTGGGCCAGCAGTTGTTCCATGATAGATGAAACCGCAGCCTGGCGTCTGTCCTATCGATCTTTAGACATCAGTATCTACGATCAGATCGGCCAATCCCAGCCTCGTTGAATCCTATGGACAGTCTCGGTGCCTATCTCGATTGCTTTCTGTACCGAAATTCGAGTCGGTCATCCTTCCTCATTCAAACCTTGTAGGGTAATATAGCCGACGTGATCATCGTAATACCGTGCTTGAATCATATTGGCTTCAAAAGGTTGATTGTCGGCCGGATGCACCACAACGGATTTACCGTCCCAAAAAATAAGAACCTGATATAGTGAAGAGGGAATGCAGTTTGTTTGATGGATCTAATCTCGACCGAGCAATGCATTGCACTTAGTCATGAAGTCGACGATAAAGAAGGCCGTCATGTGATTGCGACCTGCAACGCTTACCTTTAAAGGAAGCACTCCTTTGGTCTGAGACTTGTTGCCGATGAAGTTGCTCATGGTTATTCCAGATGGGATGAGTTAGTCATTGGACCGTCTTAATGCCTTCATGATGGATACTGGCATGATATTGACCGTAACCCCACAATCAACGAAGATTTTGGAGATACAACGACTTCAAATGTTAAAGATTAACCAAAGAAGAGTGGGGAAACAGTATAGCCAGAGCTACTTTAAGTTTGTCAGCTTTGCTTGCTTGCTCATCTTTTTCTGTAGCGATGAAATCAACTTGTGTTGCTTCCTCGATAACCACATCCTCATCCAAGGAATTTGGTTGGGGTGTAGTTGGTTGAAATTCAGCAGGTAAGACATGGACCATCCTGATTTCCATACTGTCGATGACTGAAAGGCCCATTGGGTCTTGATCGTTGTCTGCTGGGTTATTGAGTACGATATCATGCTTTGGAGCTTCCTCAACCTGATCATCTCTCGCCCCATCGAGTACCTACTCTTGTAGTGTGTCAACTGAACCTGTTTCATTTTGGCTATCATCTTCGAGCTCGGTCGTTACTGGGGCTTGGTTTTATCTTTGTAGTGCTTTGCGGGCTCGTTCTTCATAGGCGATTCGGGGGCCCCTTGTGTCTAGGTAGACATCCAAATGCGGCACATGATCCTTCTGATCGGCCGTAAGGCTGTAAAGAGATACAGTCGAGAAGACTTCAAAATGATGTCGTAAGTATTGAAGGTTTTCGAAAGAGAAATGGAGCTCGGCGGTGTCTATGTCTGTGTACGGGTCGACCTCGAAATCGAAGACCCTAGCTTCACGTATGTACTGGAACCTGGCCTTCATTACTAGGTCGGTAATTTTCTAAATAATCTATTCAGCATCAAGGCAAGTGAGTGCCAGGTCGAGGGCTTCTTGCGACGCCTTGGGTAGGCTGTACAAATCATTGGCAGAATGTGTCTTGTGAAATTCTCGCATGTACTCTAAGGATTCTCTGAGGAATTGAGGATGTAAATTCCGTTGGACTCTTATTAACGGCTCTTGCTGGGGTAATGGAGGAAGCTTGCTTTCAGCTTCTTGTCTAAAATGCTCAAAATGAGCTTTCATCTCCCCGGGGCGAAGGAGGAGTTTGATGAGCTTCTCAGATTCTTCAATGGTGGTTTCAAAGTCGTGATCAATTACCTTTTTCCCTTGAAGTAATTCGGCCATGATTATTGAGGTTTGTTGATCATTTCTGCTTCCTGCTGCTTCTTTTGGCTGTCATTTGGTAGCCAAAGTGGCTTGTGCTGCCTGCTGTCGAGCCATGTAGTCTATCCGCTGGCGTTGATGTTTTTGAGATTTGGATAATGCAGTATACACGCCAGTAGTTGAATTGTAATTATACTAACGTTGGTCACGTGGCTCAGGTGGCTTGAAGGTTTTTTGATTCGCTGATGAACTCGAGTTGCTCGAGTTATGTGAGTACTAATCCTCATTATAAAATGGCACGTCAAAATCAAGACGTCGTCTAGCTGAAGGGGGGCTGTTTGTTCGTGTTTAAGGGCTGAGCCTATCGAACACCTTCTGGCGCTGGCCTCCGCCGAGTTTCTTTGAAGGTGTTGCCGCGGCCTTGGATGGTTGTCGTGGTGTTGGAGCCTGATGTAGTTTTTCCTTTGGCTCGGTTAGGATGACGCATGCTTTACAACGGCTACACAAAACCATCGGTCCCTCAGCATCCTCTGCACTGGTGTCTGAAATGGATTCGATTATGGCCGGTCTCGAAAACTGTGTAGGTGGCTCGTTTGAAAATAGATCAATCTTGAGTCGAGGCCGAGAGTTTTTCCTTGGGATGTGTTGTATTGGATTAAACTCGGCTTTCCCTTCCCCTTTGTTTTTGGGTAAATTAGCATTTACCATGCCAACTGTCGCCGAAGGATAAGGATCAACGTCGACAATCATCTTTTTCTCAAGAAAATTTTTCTTGCCTTTATCTATCCAACTTTGAATAGCATCACGAAACACAACGCAGTTGTTTATGGTATGCTTATTCAAATTATGGTATTTGTAATACGTCTTTCCTTTCAACTCTTCGGCCTTAGGAATGTTGTGTTCTGGTCGAAGTTTAATGATCTTTGCCATCAGCAATTGGTTGAAGATTGCATCGGCCTTGGTGATATCGAAAGTGTAAACTTTTGATGTTTTAATCGTCTCTTCAGAAATCGAGCAGGTTTTAGCATCCTTGGAGTTAATGTGAGCCAATGCCTTGCAAATGTACGATTTATCTAACACTATTTCGGTCGGGTCCACATTGACATATTGGGGATCCTCACCTTCGACTGATGCGTAGCTCACCGTGGGATTTTTGTAAAGTGTTCCCTAGGATGGGGACTTCGAGATCTTTTCCTCTTGGAGCAAATAATCATATTGCTCGACGTGTTGGGCCAGTTCGTACATATCTCGGAAGTTTGCCCCCAGGAATTTCTTTTTGTACTCCACGTCTAGCCTATTCAAAGCAAGCCTAACAAATTCGACTTCAGGTAAAGGGACTCGGCACCAATTCCTGGCCGATATAAACCTTGTAAGGTAATCCATTGGTGGTTCATCAGACGCTTGAGCCATCCTAGCCAATGAAGAAACTGACATTTCCATCCCCGGTCGATAGAATTGCTCATGGAATTTCTCGACCACTTCCTCCTAACTTTGGATGGAATTAGGGAGGAGGTTGATGTACCATGCGAATGCCAAGCTCGTCAACGAAAAGTTGAATAGTTGCAGTTTATGGAAGTCATTATTGACATCTCCGCATTACGCAGTGAATTAGGCCACATGTTCTAACGAGGACAGGGACGATTCTTTAGCAAAAAGGTTGAAATCTGGGATCTTGAAGCCTTTAGGATATTCAAACTTTTCTACATAAGCTGGGTATGGATGGATGAATTTCGGTAACTTCAGCCCCTTTTTCAAGGCCGAATCGATCATTCTTTAGACCTCGATCATATCGACTAATGTTGCTTTCACTCTCTGGTCGGATCCGTCTGATCTACTGGTTGATTCTCTTCTTTTTTCCAAGTCAATCGTTTTGAGCCGAGTAGATCCTGTTTCGGCCTGTAGTGGATTACTTTTGAGTGAAAACTGGCGGGATTGATTAGCAGGCCCCCATTTGAAGACTCTACTAACTAATAATTCGAGTAATTTGGTGTGTGTATCACCATTACTTCATATTACTGTTCATTTTTTGGATAACTGTCTATTCAACCTGCCGAGATTGCTCATCAAGTCGTCTTCGAAGAAACGATCTAGTTGGAGGGTCAGAGCCTTCACCACCATCTTCGTCCCAGTCCTCCATTATCTCTTCAATGAAAACACCTGCGGTTCTGTTGGGGACTTCTGTGTTCCGAGGCTGGGTACCGAGGCAAACTTTCTTTTCTCGGTGTGTCACACTTGCAGCCTCAGGTGTCACAGCAACAAGAGGATTTCATGCATGTGACACTTCTTGTCCAGGACTCTGAACTGGTAGATCAATCGTTGACTTTCCCATGATTGTTTTATTTTTAACCGATCGTGTTTCGACGGTTATGAAGTTTGTAGTTTTAGCACTTTGTCCCATTGGGCGTGCCAATATGTTAACCTTAAAAACTACCAAGCCTACGTGGCGCACATGCCGAGTAACTAATGAGCTAACTACGTCCTTCGGTTGTATGCGGGCGTGCCAACTCGTCGGCCGAGCTTGGCCAAGGAGTAAAATATGTTGATGTTGCGTTAAGCGTGCTGCTGACTTCTTAATCTTACAACTGTGGCCGAAGAAGGAACACGTCTCGGCCTTCGAGTTCCAGAGCCTAAAGAAAAGGCTGCTAGTTCTGCGAAGTTCATGGATAGTTGGCACCGGGTTCGGTCATGGTGATTATATTCGTGAGAGTATAAGCACATCGAACTGGCTCCAAACTATACAGACACAAGTACTCAAAAGAGATATATGTCTTGATGATAAACGTGGTTCGGCCGTTAGAATGCTGAACTCTAAACCTTACTTGTGAATAACCAATCATAAACAATTCGGTATTCAATGTGTCGAACCCAGTAATTTGTAACACCTCACTTCGCCGAGAAGACTAATGAGATGACCTTTACGAATAAGGATTCGAAAATCCTTCTCAGCCAAGATTTGGATAGATGACCAGTCGGTCTCGACGCATTGATGTTTATCCAAACTGAAGTTGCTTCACGGTCGGCTGATTCTACGGCGGCAGTGTTGTTTATCCAAATTGAAGATGTTCATCGATTGCCTTCACAGTGCTGTTTATCCAAACTGAAGATGTGTTGGCAGAAAAGAAAATGAAAAATCTCAAGGTCGTTAAAGGGTTTCGTGTAGAGCGAGAGTTTGCGCATGGCAGTTTGTGTGTTGAGTCCTTTTCGAATGACACACCCCCTCCTATTTATAACAGTCAATCTCCTCTTGGCCGTATCAGAACCATACTCGGATTAGGATTCTTTATCCTAATCCAACCAGACCTCGATCAATCCTACCTCCACTAGGACTATGAACCAAACTCCTTATCCGGCCACCTTTACTTCTCAAATCTCAGAATCCTTATTCCATTAAGACTCTTTATCATACTAGGACTCGACCCATTCGCTCATATCCAGATTAATCCTTCTTGCAATCAGACTCGATCGCCTTGACTGGGCAGCCCATGACCCCTGGCCGGCCCACAGTATTTTGGAAAAGCTTTGGACAGAACCTAAACCTATGCTTGGCCCACTAGTATTATTTTGGGTCCAAACACCAACATACAAGAAAAGGTCACAAATTAAACCGAGCGACATTGCGAAAGCATAATGATAGTACGGTCGGGATATCCACTTCATGTTCTTAATTGTGGCTTCGATCAGATTAAATAAATCTTAACTTTAGAGAAAAGAAAAGAATAAAACCTTAATCTTAACTTCGTTCATCGCGTCTGAGTGGTTGATACATTTATATAATACTCTTTCTACACATCCATCTATTAACACATGCAGCAAACAATGAATTTTACTTCAAACCTGGCTTCTGATGTTAATTAGTTGGTTTAAAAAAAAAAGAAATGGGATTACTATTGAGTGTAGTTAATGCAGGTGCGTGGGGAAGGGTGATTAAATAAATTAGGATTATTCCGTAATGAAAGTAACAAAATAATGGCGCAACAACCACGGAATTATTTTCGACAGTAGGTTGAAGTCAAAATAAGAAGGATGATGATAACTGCAAAAGAAACAAATTATCAAAAGTTGATTACACCATTAACTTTGACAGCTCGCCAGACATTGCATCAATGAAAGCTCCCCATCATCTTCCGGCCGCGTGTCTTCTTAAATTTTGAGAAATGAAACGTTAAATTAAGGTAGCGGAGAGTGCTGTTAAAGTGTGTGGTGATAGAAATATATGAAAAGTTTCATTTTTATTGAGTCTTTATATCTTTTTTTTAAGATAATTTTAGGAAGATTAAATTTTTACACTAAATTTTGTAAATCATACGATATGGTGGTTGATAATTGGATTATTAACTAAGTGTTGATTAACTTGTTTATTTCTTAGTGTTGATACATCACATGATTTACAAATTGGGTCTGAAAATTTAATCTACCTAACATTACTCTTCCCTTTATTCCTTGTTTGCTTTGAAGAACCTTTGTTCATGTACATGATCATGTCTTAAGGTTATCTCCAACTCAATGGTAAGAAATCCTAAAATTTAGTCCCTTATTTTTTAAGGAAAACTAATGAAAATGGCTTGAAAACTTTGAGTTTTAATAATAAGGACAAAATAAATAGTAAAATGAATAGTAACAGGATTGACTTTTTAGTGTAAAAATGTGGTTTTTCGTTAAAGTGAACAGTACCGGGTGCTTTTCGTTAAAGTTCCCTATTTTTTATTGTTCATCTATACGTATAATGTTATTGATTTTTTTTCCAATGTTAGTGATTTTTTTCCTTCAACGGTAAGGAACCTATTTATCTATACGTATGAGGTTAAGAACATTTTGATGAAAAATAAATAAATTCAATTCTGAAAATTCAAGTTTTTGAAGTGAAATGAAAAAATTGAAATATTTTGGAAGAGTTTGCCATTGGATCTAATTTGGAATAATTAATAATATTATTTTAACCGTCATATTTAAATTTGAGCTGCTGGAACTTTTTTATTATTGTTAATTAAACTGAATTTTAGTCATTGAATTTAAAAAGGAATGTAGAGCTGGGCGCGCCACACTAGATTATAACCACCAGTACCAACAACCATTGGATGACAACGGCTCGCTAATCTCAGTGGTAGAAATTTGGATTGCAGTGAGCATGCCCGGATCGAATTCCTCGGTTGCTTCTCACACGCGGGACCGCCACTCTCCTATTTAACGTGTTGTTGCAGGCCCTCGTCCCAGTTCATTTCTTATTCATCTAGGGTGGAAGCAAGACCCAAACACCCACAGCCAAATCAAATTTATCTTTTTCCCAGAATAAAATACATCATTTGTAGATGATTTGGACTCAAAATATGAACTTTTTTCCCACCCTCTTTTGGAGACAACCTAAGCGATTAAAGGTCAAATCTATAAATAAGGTAAATACAAACGATATTTGCCATTGGCATTCTATCATTCATTCTTATTGTTGGAGAACAATTTAGAAACAAAAAATAACAGAAATACATAACTTGAAATACTTAAACTTTATTACTGAAATATACTTGTAATACAGAACTTGATTGAATGCTATGTCATTCGAACAGTATTTCCGTCTCACTTTTGTGCTTATGGTTCTACAACGTCTGCTCGACCATGATACAACTACCTAATTCTACAACCCGCATTGGATTATAGAATTCTAGCGAATTGTTTTATGTATTTACTCACTGGAAATTTTGTAGGGAAGGAAAACAGGAAGAAAATATGATCCTACTTGGAAACTGTGATTGCAAATATATAGGTTTTTTCACACCTTTTCAAATACCTGTGCAGCGTATTTGAAAATACACAACTCTTTCTAAGAGCTGTCTCTTAATCAAAACATTTTTTAATTAATAAATTAATTAAAAACTTAATCTGAATATAAAATTAATGAATCTGATTAATTTTAAATTCCAAGGCCGAAGGCCCTTGTC